TGTGTTCAAGGTAAGACACCACTGACCTGGTCTGCCCCGCTGTGTGCTCCCCAGCAGAGGGGATGGCTCTGGTCCCTGTCCCCACAGTGCCCAGCGCCAGGCCTCGGGGAGCAGCACCACAGTTGTGCTGTTGGGAAATTCATGGACAATTCATGAATGTGTTTTACAGACAGCTGTTAGTGTGTGCTGAGCAGAGCTCATTTTGTCAAGGAAAGCCAGTTACAGGATTATAGCAGGGCCACTTAAATATTATGATCCATAACATATAAGTAGTGGGCTGAGCGCTGCTGCATGGTGCTGCACAGACAGCGCTGTGTGCTCTGCCCAGGCTCTCACAGGAAGATCAAACTTGCAGTAAAATGAGATGCAAAAAGTGCTGTGGGACCTGGTGGGCGGTCTGGAGGTTTTGACTCCCAAAATATCACTGCTGTTCAGGATCGTGTCACTACCTGAAGTGCTCTGGGATCTCCCCATTGAAGAGCAACCCATGCACATTCCGGGAGGCAGCAGGTGGTGCCCCACAGCCTGCAGCAGCTCGAGAGCCTGTCCGCAGTGCTGCTTTGCTGTAGCTCAGACGCTTTTAAGAAATGCTGTTTAGCTGCTGATCTGCAGTGCAGTGCCCAGGCCCGTGCTTCCCTTAGGATGGAAATATGTGGGAACTGCCTCAGCTTCTGGAGAAAGAGAACCTGGAGCCCTCTGGGGTGCACTCAGCCATGCGCATCCCTCCTTCTGTACACTCCAATCTGTCCAGTCTTTGCCTGGGACCTCTGCTGGCAGCTGTGCTGTTCCCATGCCTAGACTGAAACCTCCACAGGAGATACCAGGATATTTCTGCTCCTTTCAGAAAGCCATCCTGGGAGCCAGAGCCCACCGTGATGCGGACAGTGCAGGTGTCAGGGGAACTTGTGAGAAAAGGCACTGTCTGAATGAAAAACAAATGTACCCTTGGAAAAGAAATATATGCGAAGTATTCAGGGGATAACATTGTACTTGCAAATAGTTATGCTTTTGAGGAACTTTATATGGTAGATGGACCAACTGCAGTATGGTTAATCACGTACTTAATGCTATAGGAATAAATATGTGCTGATTCAGAGCCTGTGCTCGTGCCCTGTGGAGGGGGTGCTCGTGCCCTGTGGAGGGGCAGCACGGCTTCCATCTCAGCCCTGCATACAGCAGCTCCGCGTGCCCCGAGCAGTGCCGGCACCGGGCAGCTCCTCCAGGGGGAGAGCAGCAGCAGCTGAGCTGTGCTGGGAGCGATGTGTCACCGCAGCTCATGCCAGACACACAGGGGTGTATGTTTGCAGTGTATGGTGGAATGTTTTGTGGATGCTAAGCAGCAATTAGAGTCTTCCTTTGAAATCGATTCATTTCACACTGTCATGGTAGCAGGGAGGATCTTATTGAAACTGTAGGATTTTTAATATTATTACGCTAAAGACTCTCTCAGTATCGGTGTCTCCATGGAGGGTCATTAGTGCACTATAATGGGTAGCAACTTCTCCAGTTCAGGAAATCTTGTTGTATTTGTAATGGGACTTCTGGGGCATATATTATGTATGGGACATATATTTCTCATTTCCACCAGGCATCATCTTTCCTTCTCTCTAAATTATTCTCCAAATAAAAAATAAAAAAATTCTTTCCCCTCAAAAAAGATGTATTCCTTATAGCTCTCTATTTTATTTTAATCTTTGAATCCAGAAACCGCTACCACCAGGGCTGTACACACTGTATAGAGGAGTACTCAGCTGCACAGTGAGGGAAGGCCATGGGGCCCAGCTGTGCTGGAGCAGGAGTGCCATGTTCTGGGGTACACAGCACAGCCCTGGGCATTGCTGCCTGCCTTGTTATAAAGGTTCTCACCACACCTTCACAGAACCTTTCTTACTGCGCATTGTACCCACTGCTCCCAGACCAGACTGAGGACAAGAACCGGTTGCTGCCCTCTTCTTTGATTCTCCTCCAGCTTAATGCTTTCCTCTGTACTGCACTTTGCTTCTCAGCTCTGCTTATTTTTGTTTCATTATTTCTTTCCCTTAGTTTTTTCAGTGCTGCATTAAAGGCTGTTGATGTTGGCTTTACACCAGCGTTCTACTCTGTGGGTTATTACCCCCTGCAAGAACGGTGCCCAGAGCTGGGTGCAGGAGAGCTGTGGCATTACCCTATGGCTGTTGGTGTAAGCCGTGCCGTGGTTTGCATCAGCCGCAGACTCAGTGCATTCTCAGTGCTATCGCTGGAACGTGACAACATCGAGCCTAGCAGAGCTCCGCAGCAGCTCACGTCAGGATGCCTCCGTGCTGCAGGGTTGCGTGCCCCGTTTGGTTGCGGGCTGTGGCGGGCGCCAGGCGGATGGCCGAGGTCGGGTCAGACGGGAGCCGTTCGACACCGGGGGCGCGACCGCTGCCCTGCTGCCATCGGCCCGGTGATGCTCGAGGGCACCGCGCACCTCGGCCCCGCTCCTCCCGGCGACAGCCGCGCGCGGGAGCCCGAAGGCTGCATCTCGCGGTGGGGTGAGGACACGGGCGAAACGATTCCGAGACCCCTACCAAGCGGACGTCGACAGACGCGTCGTTCTCTTCAGAAAGTTTATTTTTTGGCAACGCGGAACTCCCGGCTTCCCGGACCGACGGGGCACGGCCCTCGGGTGGGCCGCAGCGGACCTCCGCGATCCGGGGTTCCCGTGGGTGGGGCGGCCGTCGTTTCAGCGGCGCGCCGGTCCGGCTCCGCGCGGGCGCAGGGGGAGCAGCGCCGCACGGCCGCGGTGAGTGCGGGCGGCTGGCGCGGGGCGGCGCGGGGCCGCGGATCGGGGCGCGCCGGAGCTTCGAGGCGCGGAGGAGCTGCTCCCGGGCGCTGGCCCGGGCCGCCGGTGTGGCCGTGCTCGCCGCCCCCCGCGCTAGGCCGCTCCCCCGCCCCCGCTGCTCCTCCCGCCG